CCGTGGAACTGCTCATGCTTTTTCTGTATCCTAGTCTAATTTCTAAAGTTCAGATTCTTGTGTTTTGAACACTTGTGTTGGTTTCATTCGAGCCGATGTCTTGGGTTATTATTCTTTTAATGCTTATTTAGTCATGTGAATTGTTACCATTTTGGGAGGGGGGGGGGTCCCCATTTACAGTGTGTGTTTTCCCCCAGTGTATTCTCTGTTTTACCTGAAGCTTTTGGTTTTTCTTTTTTGTGCTCACATTGTCTTTACATTTTGCCTTTTACCTGCAAAGGATTGTCTCAGCAGGACTAATTAAAGCCCAGGGTTCTGTTTGGTGTCATGGATGTGACAGGCTCACTAGCCCTATTCATAATTTTAAAATAACAATAGAAATACAATTGAAATCTCCTCTCTCGTATTTCTAGTCATTTTTACGCACAACTACCCAGTTCACATTCACAAGGTCAGACTTTTTTGGGGGTCAAAATAATTCTAAATATGAAAAACAAAAACAACATAAACAAAGGCATTAAATTACTGGACATTTCTGTCTATGAATTCATTTTTGGGAGTGAAGAAAGTGGAAGAGCGGCCGAAATTTATTAAGCAAGAAGTTTTCAGATCAAATCTCTGTGTACCGAAGAGGCAAAACGCACCACAAAAAAGTGTGTGGATGTCACTGTAACCCTAAACCCCTAAACTGGTCACAGGGAAACTGTTGGATGTTAAAAGGTTTTACAAATAGTGTATATAGCACATTAGACATGAACTTTAATCAAATTCAAAATAAAGCAATATAAAGTCTTACTTACTGAACCAGAGTCTCTTCAGCAGGTCGTCATCCTCCATGTCGCCTTTAAAGGAACACCTCCAGAAAAAACCCTCGTGGTATAGAGTGACATCACTACTGCCCTTGCCCTCCAGCACCACATCTCCAGGCTGAAATGGAGAAGAACAATAAAGTGCGGAGTGGATGACTGAGGCTCAGCAGGTAGAGTGGGAGGGCTGCCAGTGAGAAGGTCGGTGGTTTGATCCCCAGCTCCTCCGGCCTGCATATTAAAGTATTCTTGGGCAAGATACCAAACCCTGAATCGCTCCATGGAGTTTAGGCATGGAATAAAGAAGTGCTTGATGAATATGTGTGTGACTGGGTAATAAAATATGCTTTGAGTGCTCAATAAGAGTAGAAAAGCTATCATCCATTTTACCATTTGGTTTTTACAAATATGGGACAGATATATATGCACGCCATTTTGTTAGCTGATGGATTAAAGTATATAAGAGATGTGTCAAAATTATGTGAGGCAGGTGCTCAGACTGCTGCCAAAGTGTTACAGAGTGGTTAATATATTTAGGGTCAAGGATCAAGGGTCAAGCCCAGCAAGCGCACTTAGCTGGGCTTCTAGGGTCTAGGGTCTTTACTGTACAATATGAAGCTGCTTAAGGTGACTGTTATTGTGATTTGGGGTTATATAAATAAAACTGAATTGGTGCCAAATGTGTGTAGAGGCCAACAGACCAAGCTCTTCACTGATGCTCACTGAATGGCTCTCAGGGAAATGAAAGTGGAGCTGGGAAGAATCTTGAGGCTTCAGGCTTCATGACATCAGCCGTATCCAGCCAGGCTTTAAAATTAGCCTTACAAAACATTTGAAACATTTTATTTTTCTGTAATTTTTAAAGGAAAGCAGATGGTTCTCACTCAAAGCTTTAAGTTTCCACACGCAGGTGATGATAAATCAGAGGTGTCAAAATACAATTATAGGCATCAGACGCTATCACAAGCACACTGACACAAACTGTCACACAAAATAAGGTGTGTGATACCGCACAAACAAGTCTAACGAGTGAGAAAAACTCACTGGACTCTACCCCCTGAACCAGCTCACCGCCAGAGTGGATACGAATATAACCACGAACCACCTCCTCAACATGGATGACATCAAGCTGGATATGCCATGAATGAGTGAGATAATGACTCACTGATCCAACTCACCAGGCTCTAAAGCAAGGACATAGGGATGTCATGCAGAGTAAGTGTGTGGCCAAATGATTGCAAAAATAAGGAAAGTGATCCAGGCTGAAAGGTTGGAGTTGCCAGAAGGCCAAATAGCTGACATACAGGGCAGCTATATCTGTATATATAAACATGTTGGTTTTATTGTGTTGCCATCATGTCTTGATTCCAGCAACAGTGCCAACCCTGAAAACTTAAGTATGCTGTTAGTCGGTGATATTTAATACACTAACTGAGACTGCTGGTATTTGTATTTCAATCATAGGGGGCCAAATGTTACACTCGGTGACTCAATCACTACATAGCTGCACACACGCCACATTAAACAGTGTCTTATTACACAAGTAGGTCCTACGGGGATGCCTTTCCACCCTGCAATCCTACTACTGAAAGACTTATTGAAACAACTGATCAAATTTGAATTTAAAGATCCACCATTAACCTGTATAGACTGGAAATACACAGTTCACCTTTAAGAGGTTAAATATGGTGCAAAACAACAATCTGCTGGATTTATTTCTTGTCTTAAAGGAAGAACAACTCTTTTCTCTTTGGTTCCACAGACTTCACATGTAAACAGTAAAAGCTATGAACACATACCTGATCTTCAGCTTAAAATAAACTATACCGGACTCTCTTCTAAGGTCAAAAACTCACCTTTATGGTCACGCCACCTGGGCCAGCAGATTCATTAGGCCTTAACTGGCAGCTCTCTGAAACCAGCAGCCAGTAATCGGTTCCAAAAGAGAGAAGGATGAACACAGTTGCCAACGCCCCAAAGAGCCCTGCGAAGAACAACGCCACTCTAAGCTTCATGGTCCAGGACTGATCAGCCACTTAGTTACAGGATGCCCACACTCAGTCTGACTTTCCCCTCCAACTAGTGCATGTGACAAGCTGAGTCAGATCCAGTCACTCCTCTTGTTATGTGTTATATCCAGCGAGTGAGATAAGTTCAGCTAGGTTTTGTTGGGCTGCTGGACCTTAACACCACTCCCGTCTCTCTGTCTGTGTTATGGGGCGACAAAGTTGTCCATGTGACACCTTTAGATCCTCCACTGGGGTCTGAACCCCCCTACCCCTGTGCTATTTTTGGTTTCTGGCTCTAAGCGGCTGCTTCACTCTACTATGGAGCAGAGTGTGTGCAGCATTTGGAGAGTATGAAGGGAAGGAATTAACACCAAAATAACCGGTGGCAACTGGACACCCAGTCTCTGCACAGGAATGTCAGGGCAGGGTGAGACCGAAAGGACAGAAGAGGAGTAAAGTCTCCCCCAACACTCACACACACATAAACACACACAACAGTGGCTAACGCCAACAGAGTGTTACAAATTACTGTAAATGAAGCCTTTCATGCAACTTCTTTGCTGATTTTCAGTTGATTCATACAAGTATAATCTATATAAAAATGACTTTTACTAACCAGACCTCATGCAATAAGACACAATAGGAAGTTAAAAATTACTTTATACAAATTGAAGCGATCACACAAAGGAGGTCACACAAACTCTTTAAAGCAACTATTTTTTTCAACGTTTTAGACATTTTGATACAGATCTCATTTTTTCTATTACACTGGAATTATAAAAAGTATATGCAGCCTTTAATAATGTAAAAGTAAATAACACGGTTACTTCTTTTAACTGTGCTAAAATGTAAGTTAAAATGTATCTTCCACTGATGTTTTCGGAAATATAATTTTGTTGTATTCATGCTCAGTGTGAGTTGAGAGGAAGTGCCGGTTTAGCATCTGGGGGGAATATTTAGCAGTAAAACTATAAGGGGACTCTGTCTAATTTACACACTGATGTGATCCAGGCCACACTCACTCAAAGGTTCGGTATGTGTGTTAGCATCAAAAAGATCAAAAGTTCAAATCAGAGTTTTATCAGATATCATTATTTCTTGTCTGAAACCTAAATATATAGATATATATGTACTGGTTTTGGTTTGGGGGTGTTTTTTGACGTTTTGGAAGCCTCTGAGCACAATTTCCAGTCTATGTTTGCACAATGTGCTAGAAAAGTTTGTAGGTTATGTAACCATGTACATGTATATAGATCTATCTGTACATGGATCTATAGGGATTTTTTTGGTGGCACTCTAATAATAAGGTAATAAGGTGGGAGCAAGGCTGTTATATGGAAATATAGCAACTAACAATGCTTAATTACCAAAGTAATATCCAAGCACACTTACAAATATTACAGGAAACTTGAATAAGTTATAGTCAAGTTTCAATCATTATTGAATTTAATGACTACATATAGTGAATTGCATACTTTACCAGCTAGCTTCTTCATTCTGGCCAGACGTTGTCTAATAGGTCAATAGGTCTCTCGTTCACATTTTTTTAAACGTTAATTTAAATTCTGCTGAAGTGTCTGTTGCAATGTTTTGGAAACCCCAGCAGGTGGCGTACAAGTAAACCTCCCTCTCTGATAACGTCTAAACATCTTTCAACAAAACTCTACGACACTGTTAATACTATCTATCCGATACGAGACGCAGTGTTGCTGTGAGTTAAGTAACAACATTAGGTGGGTTAGACTACAATCTACAGTGCTGAAAATATCTGCCGTTTTTTAGTAGCTATAACAAATATACAACATAACAAATGCAAATCAAATTAAAATAATTTAAGATAAAGGCTAAACCTTTTTTCTAAACAGGTATAAATAAAAACGCTTTATGATTTTCCACAAATTATTGGGAAAAATGACGGGGAAAGCTCATATTTTGTGACGTCAGTGGGTTATACCATCTATAGGTGTTTCAGACCAGCCAACGCGTCGGTTCAGCAACTCTTAAATGAACCCAGACTTAAAAAGTCAAGTTTATCGTAGGTCGAAAACTCGATAGTCTTATTTACAGACAACCAGCTTACACATCGGACACGTTTTCTCACGCAGATAAAACCCGGAAGCTTGCGATCACCCCGTCCTTATGAGACCACCGCTTCTGTTTGGATAGTTAGAGCGGATGAGCGCTTCCGCCTCGGCTGTAGCCGTGCTGTCAAAGCGGGAGGATGATCAACCAGAAATGTAGCACTTTATTACTGAAAGACAGAAGACGGAGGAGGATTATAAAATGTATCTATGTGGTGGGCTTCATGGTGAGTGCCTCACTGAGAGATGACCCCACTCAGTTCGGTGTTTTTTTAGGTGTGCTGTTTCCTAGTCATGCTTTCGTAACTCAGGTATGATGGTGTAAAACATGCTGGGGCTTTTTAATCCCTTCCTTTTCATATTTAAAACTCTGTATAATGCCTACTTGTTGTTTTTTGTTATTTTAGCAAAAAAATAGAATACATTAAGACATTTATTATTTATACAAATAATAAAGGGGGAAAAGTTCAAGGAAGTTGCAAGCTAAAATGAGTTTTCCAACATGCAAATAATAAACCTGAGCTCTTTAACCTGAATCAAACTCTCACAATAGCCCTTATTACGCGTCATAATTGTCCCGTACTGAAAAATTAACTTCTGCACCACGTTTATAATTTTTGAAGCCCAAAGAAAGGAAACTCTAGAGCTTCTGCACTCAGTTGCTTTGACTGGATGTGAATGTATTAAGCACAGTGTCGGTCCAAAGTCTGTTTATAGAGCATTAGACTCAGCACGACTGTGGTGCTCTTGGAAATCCTTGCTGGAGACAGCTGTCATGTATCTACAAGACCTTTTATAATAACCATTGTAATGCTTGGCTACTAAAAGAAATTAAGATGAAGGTATTTCCTAATGTTTTTGGCGTTACCTCTTCAAAGCATCGCTGTCAGTACTGTAATGCAAAGTTGATCTACAAGTCTAGATCATTCTAAAGGTGTTATTTTAAGAGCTCGCCTGTAGTCGTGCCTTAGAGAAATAACTTTGTCATACCTGGCTAAACAAGCATCCAATTAGAGATGACTAGAGGGATCCAGTCAGCTCAGATTTATTTGGCACTGTGCAGCACTGGCACAGTAAAGCTACTGAAGGTTAAGTAATTTCTGTAATGGACTGGGTCAGGAACACTGTATGAGCTGCTGTGTGACTTCAATCAAGATTTTGGCTCGGAGAGCTGCTCTGATCTCAGCGGTGCAGGAAAAACAGGATGAGCAACAACTCTACGTGGCTGCTGAATCCGGCCACAGACTGCTGTATGCTGGACACCATGTTTGATTTGCATGTTCCTGTCGGCCTCACTCCACCTTTGTTCCTCCATATTTCTTTACAGGACTTGTTTGGGGTGAGCATGATCATCCCACTGCTGAGCCATCACGTGAAGGCTCTTGGAGCAAGTCCCACTGTGGCCGGTATTGTAGGTATGTTGTTTCCGCAATACATAACATACATTTGTTTAAATTATGCAGCTGGTGTACTGCAAGCACCAACCTTACAGTGACACAAAAGTGAATAAATCTACAGCAGACTGGAAGGCTGTGGAGACTACAAGTGACAAAACAATCAAACAAACACTCTCAATAATATATTGTTTAATCCTCACTTCAGCACACTGTATGCACAATATAATATGGGAATGTCCCAGTGCCATGTTCTGTGATTATTTTTATTGTTATACATCAATTGAATAATAGTTTTTTAGCAGTATGTCAGGACCTTGTGTTGTTGAAAGATGAGCCGAATAATAATAGCCATAGTCATCAGGCCCCTTATTAGGTGCACTTTTCTACTACCCTTCAGAAGTGCTTTAATTCTTCGTGACACAGATTCAACAGCAGCTGAAAACATTCCTCAGAGATTTTGGTCTGTCTTGGCACAATACACCAAAATCTGCACATCTGTGCTGTGAATGTCCCGTTCCACCACAAAGGTGCTCTATTGGATTCAGATCTGGTGACTGTGGAGGTCATTTGAGAGCACTGAACTCATTGCTATGTTTAAGAAACCAGTTTTAGATGATTTGAGCTTCATGACGTGGTGTGTTATCCACCACCACCTGAACTGTTGTCCAATTTTGAGGAACCTGTGCAAAATGTTACCCTGGTTTTCTATTCTTAGCTGACAGCAGTGGTACCTAGTGTGATCTTCTGCTGCTGTAGCCCATCTGCTTCAAGTTCGCTTAAAGTCTTATACTTTCAGAAATGCTCTTCAGCATAACTTGGTTATAACAAGTGGTTATTTAGTATCAGGTTGAACCAGTCTGGCTATTCTCCTCTGACAGACAGACAGGGTGTAAAGACATTTTCACCCAAAGAACTTCCGCTCACTGGATATTTTCTTTTTCGGCCCATCCTCTGTAAACCCTCAAGACAGTTGCCACATTCTAAGTCACTTAAATCACCTTTTCTGGTGCTCAGTTTGAACTTCAGCAGGTCATCTTGACCATGTCTACATGCCTTTGAGTTGCTGCCATGAGTTTGGCTGATTACATATTTGCTAGTAAGTAGACATACCTAATAAAGTTGCCAGTGCAGTAGTGTATATACAGAGTGATTTACTGTAAAGACTTACCCTGACTCTGGGCCTTCCTCTGCACAGCTGTGATGTCGCTGTGCCATTTATGCTGCAGATATCACTGGATTCAGAGTCGCTATGCTGGGGAAAACTCTGACACAATATTTCTAAATTTCCCCATGTGTCACTGTCTGCTTATGTTTTTTAAAAAAGAAGTTATGTCTAGTATCTGCAAAAAGTGGCATTAGACTCACTGGATCTCAGCGCGTGCGATGTCTGCTCTGTGTTTTTTATATTTAAAATGTAAACTTGAGCAAATCTTCTGTTGCAGGATCTACGTATGGGATCTTGCAGCTTTTCTCGAGCACTATAGTTGTAAGTACTAACTCTGCAACCATTTTGGTCGAGACATTCTTTGTCATCCCTGGAATTTCATGAAAACAATAAACACTGTCTGTTTTAGGTCACACAATGCACCCAGTCTCCATCCCTTCATACACACAAGACACTCCTACTTAGCCCCAGTTGTACAAATTTATATACACACAGAAATAGATTTTTACCCTTTTTCTCCACTGCTAATTGAATACTGGGGGAGAGACTTTGTTTTATCTGTGCAGTCCTTTGGGTGCCATGATGAAAAATCAAATCAGAACCACATTCAAATGCCACACAATAAGCGTCGTATCTGAAGTTGGACACGCAGCTTTCCTGCCCATCCAAAGGTCTTGAAATTGGTTTAAATTCTCAGGGGTCATGGGACAAATTAAACAGATAAGGAGTCATCTGTTAGTTCCTGTATTCAGACCGGCTGATTCCTGATAAATGTAGGGATATGTGAACAGCTGGGTCTCTATGATAATCCCACCCATCTCAACTGGCCCTAATTGTGTTATTTCATCAGATGCTTGTATGCGTGTGTGAGAGAGGGCGAGAATCTAATAAAGACTTGTGTGACAGCCTCGATGGAGGAAATGCAGCGTTTTAGGATATTTCTCGAGTCAGCTGATCTTTCAGACTAACATTCACAGATCAGAAACAGAATTTAATTTGGTATATTTTTGTCTGCTTTCTGTTTGTTTCGGTTTTTCAGTATTTGTCATGAATCTTCGAGCAATTTAGCATCAACTCCCTCTTTTCAGATGTTTGGCAGGGCTGTGGAAATATCCGTCATCTCACCGCTGAAAATGAGTTCGGGAATTATAAATGTTTACATTTTTTCTGTGGTTGTGTTTCATTTCCTCTGTGTGATTGGCAGGGCAGCTGGAGCGACGTGGTGGGTCGGAGGTACTCTCTGCTGACCTGCCTGCAGCTCAGCGCTCTAGGCTACGGCCTGCTGGGGATGTCCACCAGCATCGCTTTGTTTGTACTTGCACGGATACCTGTGGGTAAGTCGGAAACCTCAAAGGGGCGCATCACTGGTGTTTATCAGCTAAGTCACATATCCATACCTTAGAAAAGGATTTATCTCATACCTTTTTTCCCTCAATGAATAAAAACTGCATTTCACATTTACTGGGGTTATCTTTGTCTAATATTAAACTGTGTTTGATAGGGGTGGGGGAAAAATCGATACTGTGTAGTATCGTGATATTTTGTTTGCTAATAATGTATCGATACAGGGACAGCAGAAATCGATATTTTGTTGCAAAAAAAGTTTTTGTGAACTGGAACTGACTTCAGAGCATGTTGATCCTTTTTCTGAGCAAGAATCCTGACATTCCTTCACTGTCCAAATGTGTTTAACTTTTTTTTGGCAGCAATAAACATGTCAGTTTACTTATTTTAATTTAAGACATGTTTTATTTTAATTAAGTTTAAAACTTTTTTATTTAATGTAAAATTATATTTTGTTTTATTTTACTTTCAAATTCTTCAGTTGCTGAAGGGGCTGCATAGTTTTCATAAATTGCATAGTTCAGAATAGCTATAATTGTACCAGATGGTTGCATTCAGTTAAGTTGGACTAGACTGTAATACAAACCGTTCAGTTTGTCAACAATAAAACTGACTGAAATGAGAGAAAGACTGAGTGCGAGACTTTGATATTAGATAAAATGAATATTGATAAAGTTTACCTTTATGTACAGAATCTGAATATCACAAAATATAAAAAAAAAATTGCAATAATATCGTATCGTGCGTTAAGTATTGTGATAATATCGTATCGTGGGATGTATGGTGATTCCCACCTCTAGTGTTTGATGATCTGAAACATGTAAGTGTGACAAATATGCAGGAGGCAGGAAGGGGTGAAGTACTTTTTCACAGCTCTACATAACATGCCTGAGGTTTTGTTTTGCTTTTTTCTTCATATAATCTCCAGTGTCCTGCATTGAAGGATATTTATCAGCATCCTTCCACTGACCAAGCTTTAAAGCTTCATGTTATGAACTCAAACCTACCATATACTCAGAAATATAAATGCTTAGCAGCTTTTTTTGTTTGCTTAGTTTCATTAGAAAACGGCAGGGCTCTCTGCACCTTGGTTTCAGCACATTTTATCACGTCCACTTACCTATATTAGATATAATCCGATTAATAAATTAATCTTAGATTAAGTATTAACAGTTGTGTGGCTTGAGAGCCTTTTAAGTAGACTGTTATTTTGCTGCCTCTTCTCAGTGTGTCTTCTGTTTCAGGGTTGTTCAAGCACTCACTCTCCATCTGCAGAGCTCTGCTGTCTGACCTGGTGTCTGCTTCAGAGCGCCCTCTAGTGATGGGACATTTCAATGCCGCCTCCAGCGTGGGCTTCATCCTGGGCCCTGTGGTGGGTGGCTACCTAACTGAGCGTGAAGGAGGCTTTTATACATCCTCTTTTACTTGTGCAGCCATCTTCATTATTAATGCTGGTGAGTTGGAAAATGAGATTAATAAACTGAGTTCATGAAGGTAAAAATTAAAATGTATGTCAATACAGCGTGTCTGTCATTGCAGGCCTCGTATGGATGATACCACAGAGTGAGACTCTGGCTGACCGTAATGACACTGTCTGCAGAAACGACACGAGTGCAGGGTATCACGAAAACCACTTTAGTAAATCTGTACAGAATGGTTCTCATACAAATAGCCACCACCCATTGCTGACAGCAGAGACGCAGCAAGAGTCTACATCTCCTGGAAAGCATCAAGGTGGTTTCAGGTGGAGGGATGTGTCTTTTCTTCAGCCAGTCTGGAAACAGCTGTCCTCAGTAGGCTCCAGGATCCACATAGTGGCCTCATCTGACATGTGGGACCTCTTCCTTGTGCGTCTTCTGATGGCCATAGCTATCATGCTCTACTACAGTAACTTTTCTCTGGCCATGGAGGAGCGCTTTTCACTCAAACCAAAAATGACCGGTTACCTGATCAGCTACAGCAGCACTCTAGGGGCCCTGGCTGGGTTCCTGGTGGGGCCAGTCACACAGCTGTATAAGAACAACATGCCCGCTTTACTGCTCCATTCGACGGTGCTCACCTGTACGCTTATTTTCCTCTATGCTGCTGCGCCGAATGTTTGGCAAGTGCTGCTCACCTCCACCTTCTTTGCCATTTCTACCACTATCGGACGGACATGTATCACAGATTTGGAGCTGCAGAGGGGCGGGGTCCAGGCCAGCGGGACTCTGATTGGAGCCGGGCAGTCAGTTACAGCTGTGGGTCGAATCCTGGCTCCTCTCCTGTCTGGTTTGGCGCAAGAGTTCAGCCCTTGCGGCCCCCCAAGTCTAGGAGTGGTGCTGGCCCTCGCAGCTGTGGCTTTACTACTCATCAGAATTCCCAAATGGGACGCGAGGGAGATGACAAAAACAGCCAAACTCAGAAACTCTAAATGAATTTTGAAATCACAAAGAAGTGCTCTTAATTGCAGGAGACCAGCTGGGACAATGAACAGCAGACTCCTCGAGGGAACGGTGAAGCCAACTCGAACGTGTTATTCTTAAACAGGATAGCCCTTCTGTTGGTGCGATGACATCACAGGGTGGAAATATTGTGACGTTTCAATCACACCAGCACTGAAGTCTTCGTCTCGGGGACAGGTGAATCAAAAGTCACGTGCACTGTAGGAATGAAGACACTGCTGCAAAATGCTGACGTTTGACAGCAACCTTTGGGCACAAACTACTGGATTATGACTGTATTTTTATGACTTTGTTTTTAATGAAGTTTTGTAACCACTGCAATTTAGCTGGAGTTGATGAAAGCAGGTCTGCACTACATGCCCGAAGAGGAGGGTGATTTAATTGAAATAATACTTAATTCATTAAATAAAAATTAAAAAGATGACTGTCAAAGGCAGGCTATTACATTTTTGGTATGAGTTTGATTTTTACACATTTTACCTCAATGGGTTTTTTTGTTTTTTATTCTAATGCAAAGTATCCGAAATGGTCGTTATAGCAGTATCTGATCTAATGTTCCTCTTTGACTGATCATAAAGAATAGAGATTTGTTAATTTACCTAATTAGAGGCTTAAATGCATATTTGTTATTCACTATTTTTAAGTTTTATAACATTATTTTCAACACCGGTTTACTTGCATCACCAGAGCCAGAGAGGTGTAATATGAAGTGAGATGAAACACATAACTCAATGTCACTGTGCATGCATTCATGATGCAGAAAATGTCAACCTCTTTATACTTGGTTTTAATCTATTTAGCCTCTTTTACTCTCTCACGCACACAGAACAAGGTTACCTGTTCAAGCAATAAACTGAAAAGTTTCACAGTTCTAACGTGCAGCCATCACTTTAGAAATGAGAGTGCACTCAATATTAAAAGAATTAACTTGAATTAAAATGTGTACTCTACCACTCTCTGCACTAAATAAGCAGATTTTCTGCAGCATTCATTTCCTGTCTTGTCTTTCACTTTTACATGTTGGTATTGTTTATAGATTGTTCATCACTAGTCAGTCATCATCTGATGTCGTTTCTGGTTGGAGTAGGTGGCGCTCACAGGGATCCTGTTGTGCGGGATGAGTGTCATGTGACATGTGAAACACCCCTTTTTATGTAACTGCACACGGAGCCTGAAGCAGAAAGTCCGACTTGGCAGACAAAGTTAATAACCGCCATCATAGGTTTTGTCAAGCCAGCTAACTCAGAGAAAGCCTGGCTGTGTTGAACTTCCTTCATAGTGCACCTCTCTGGAACAATCGGAAACGCTCTCTTATACATTTATCTCATTTATCTCTAGGCTCCATGAAGGACCTGCCACACTAAGGCCCAAAAAACTGCTACAGCAAATAAACAGTTTGTACTTTTGTGTCTGTCTCCTGAATTGTATTTTTTAACCATATTAAAAACATTCACTTTTAATATCTGACATTTTATTCAGTGTCACAAACCTTAAAACTTATAAGAACTTTCAACAAAGAAAATTTATTACAGAATAAAGGAAAGCAGCTGGGCCAGAGGGACTATCATTGTCAGGCATTCAAAAAGTACTTTGTACTGCGCAGCAACAGCTTGTTTGACTAAAAAACATTTATATACACACAAAATGTACATCTTCAGTCATGTAACTATCACACAAGACAGACAATAAAATACAAAAAACTATCCTATTTACACAAAGGGCAAATGTATAATAACATAGTTTAATTAACCTCACCTTCCACATTTAAAAACTCCTACATGAAGAAAAAAAGACATTTAAAATTATTTTCTAAGACTAGTTAAAATAAGTACATGTGTAAAAAGTCTCACAGTTTATTTACAGTACAGTTGCTACAGTTCACTGTGCTTCTGAGGAGTGTGACACTGAAGCGTTAGTCCATTTTGGCTCATTTTGAAGACCGTTTTACCTCTAATGAGTAATGAAGACACCTTCAATGTTATTCTAAATGTCTTTAAAGTTATTTGAGCTTACAGTCATAAGCAGAAACTTCCAGCTGCTTGATTAGGTGGAGACAGTCCAGCTGCACCACTTTTATTTCTTCTTGGGGTTCCACTGAGGCCGCCTGAGCAGAGGGTTTCGAGCCGTGGTCTCTCTGGACTCAGCCTCCCAGCCTGGCGCTGGAGACGAAGGCTGACGCTGCCCCACCTGCTCTACACCGTCTTCTTCGTGAACATTTCTTAAGTCGTCCACCGAACTGTTGTTATCATCAAATGAGGAATTTAAGCGGCGAGGACGAGGCACGCGGGAATCACTGTAGGAGGAGTTTGTCCTGAACACACCCTCCCCCGTACTGCTGCTCTCTTCATTCAGAACATCAGTAGATGGCACTTCTTCCAGAGTGCCCAGCCTGTGCAGAGGTATCATGGCTTTGGAGGAGGAGGAGCGTGCGGGCTTGCCAAACCGGGAGCGTTGAGATGGGTAGGCAACTTCTGATAGGGTCTCATGATCATCTGGGATGAGATTGAAAACAAAAAATAAAATGGTAAAGTACACTTATACTAACACGCTCACTATGACAACATGGTTATGTTTAACTACTATACCAACAACTTGTCAAGTAGACTCAATCACAAAGTACAGGTAAAGTCAATGTCCTAAACCTTACCTGTGCTGATTCACAAATCAGATGCTGACCTGATCGTGGAGCTAAACATTTCATGGCAATGCGTTTGCACTCACATCATAAATGTTGACCTCATAGTGGTGTTGGACAAGTGCCGGTTTATACGCTTCATGAGGAAGGCAAAACTGTTCAAGTTTTGTTGTCCACGAATAATGTGGGTAAATTATTCATCCATTTTCATTCATCTGGTTGAAGCCCAATTCTGCGACCATCATAGAGCTAACCCATGAGGATAAACAGCCACACACACTCACATCTATTCCTACAGTCAATTTAGGATCACAGATAAGTCCTCAAAAAGCCTTGCTGCTTGAATTGAACCCTAACATAAGGAAAAAGGCTTCAGTGCTTTTCAATCGTTTCCTTTAGCAAAGGATCCACTGAACCACCTTCCTTTATGAAAGGAAGGTGAAATGATGCCATCCTACAAATTCTAGCAATACACAAACCAGCCACTCAAGAAACCAACAAAGTGGTACAAATCATTCAAATGAGCATTACAAGTGCTTTGTTCTAGCTGCCATTGGTCGAATGGACAAATTATAGCTTTGTTACTGTGTGGGTTACACAATGCTTATTATTAGTTGTTGTTTCCAGTATTTTGTACTATGCTTATTTGTTGTCTGTTGTGTTTGCACTGAGAGTGTACATGGTAGGATGGATGGCTTGCTGCAGAACAAATCTAACCACAAGAACAAACTAACCTGAACCTGTTTTCAATTTCATGCCATAACCTGCTGGTAAAAACTCGACATTTTGAAGAACAGCCTCTTAAAGCTGCTGTTGAACCACGAACGTTACGCTTCTGTGATAAAAATCTAGTTGTCAAGCTGCTGTCTTGAATGTAGATTGATATCTACAAGCTCTCCCTTTTGGTTCATTCTTATATGTGCACATCGCTCTGTTTTGGGGAGGGGGTTTCTGTTTTTTCAGGAGACACATACTGTGACATTAATGAGACTGACAAAGTCTTATTAATAGTTTTGGGGGTGGTTTTCTGATACCAGGGAGATCATTTACTAGCTTGGACCACATCCTCATTTATATTTGACTCCATTTCTAGTAGATAATGGCAGATAGCGTAAGCAAGAATCGAGGCAGCGGTTTTGGGGAGGTCTCGGAGGGGGACTGGCGGCAGCTTCCGGGCCAGACAGATCTCTCTGTAGTAATGAGAGTGAGATGAACTGAAAAAGGAAGAGTGGGACAAGAAAATGAAAACAGCTTGTAGTGCAGGGGTTTCATATACAGACAGAATTGTAAAGGGAGTCCCGCTCCTAAGATTCAGATGAATTATCGACAAAGCACTTCATTTGTTCTGTGCACACTGCTGAGAAAAGACAATTCATTTCAGTTCTGATGAATTAAGGCTCGAATCAGGTTGAAAAATTCCAAACTTTGTAAGGAAGTGACGTTTTCATCATTTATTCTCATTTATATGAAGGGTAAGGTTGTGTTAAGGGATTTCAAAGATAATCTCAGTTTACCTGTGTAGTGCCACCTCGCAGCATCAAATCTTGACTCCAGACTCTTTCCAGCAGGAAGCGAGAAATACTTGTGTGTCCTGGGCACGTTCTAAGAATAACAATGGGGAAAAAACTTGATGAAAAGTGGTGAGAACATTTAATCTAGTGTTTGAATTTCATGTGTGAGATAATCAGCTCAAAAAGAACATTTGTGACTGTTATTTGCCCAAAGTACTTCTAATTAAGACCCCGGGGATGTACCGAAAATCCCAACCCACGCTCCCAACAAAATAAATAATTAATTAAAATAATACAAATAAATTGGGCAAGGTAGCTTACCGATGACTGACAACTACGAGGTCGGAGGCTTCGTCGAATGGTGGCATGGCGCCTGATCAGTATCTCTCTGGTCTGGCTGTCATTGGGCAGAGCATGTTTTCCTCTGTATGCCACCGTCTAAGTCCAAATACATAAATTAATTATCTAATTACAAATAACAGAAAGTCAGAGAACCACACACGGAAAACACACAGTGAAGACATAGACTTAAAAACTCCATAAACAAAATCCATGACCACTGTCAATGCCAGGGACTTGGGACAACAGAGGTTCCCACGAATGGACGGTTCAGACGCTCTTAGTGGGGACTGCATTGTTTAAAGCTCAGGTTACGCCACCAAAACTGGAAACACCTGTTTGAGGCAGGGGTAGGTGTCTGTATGTGGACTGCTACCTTAACCTGTTCCATGCAGTAAACCCACCCCTGGTTCTGACCTGCAGCCATTAGTTAAACCAAAAACAAACACAGCTGCCTTTAAAACCCTCCAAAGGTCACCACTGTGTTTTATAAAGAGGTCGCATGACAATATTATGGGCCTGTATGATGTCACCAGAAGCCAACACGGTTTACAGTTAGCATTTTTATCAAATATAATGCATTTTAAAAATAAATTAATAGTGACACGGTGACGTCAGTTTAGTGTGAAAGAATCACAAATATGTGAAAAAAAGACTTGAAACAAGGAGCTATTGATAAAGCTATGTGATAAACTGTGAAACCACAGAAGAAACTCCATCAAAGCATCAAAGAGTCTGTTAAAAGGGCGATGTCATGCCACTAATGGAACAGTACTGCTGGCCACTGCCTGTGGCTATGCAAAACAGCACCGAGTTTCACTTGGTGGGATCGTCGGTATGAGAAACAGAACAACATCGAGGGGTGCTTTTCTTGTTTGTGTCAAATTAACGGACATTTTTCAAACTTCATGTTTTTCAAGTAAAATGCAAAGAGGTGCAGCTGCACGTGGCTTTATTTTAGTCATCTTTATCGGGGATTTTAATCGTTTTTAAGCAGTTGAGCATGTGCAAAGCTGATGCTGAACTACGTTACCATGTATGCAAAACAAACAAAGGTTCGAGTTTCACACTTCTGAGATGTGCCGTCATCTGGCAAAAGTTGACAATGACAACGCTTAAAACGCAAATGGCAAACTTATACATTAAATTACATTTTCTACAAATAACCATTGATATTAAAAAAACAAACAAAAAAACCCGCTAACATCAAACTATGGTAGTGATAGTTTTTGTGTATTATTCATGTCAGTGTAGCTGGAAATTGCTCCATCGTTACTGAAGAGATCCGTCACCAACTAAAGAAACGTTGATGTAAAAATGAATGACATGTACAGATCTTAACATTTCAAACTGCAAAAAGTATATCAGCAAAATGTAATAATTCAGATTAAGTAATTAAATGAATCAAAGATACAAAAATTGCTTTATTGTAAAAAGGAAGCTTTTTATACATTATATATTATATTAACCTGTCTGGAATTTAAACAGCTTCTTCTGTTCTTCACCTCCTTCTGCTCAGCACTCAAACATGTCAAATATGACAGGTGCTTCCAACTAGTTTGCTGTTTTAATGAGTTTATTGTTTAACTATAGGTATAGTTTTTTTATTGTATAGGCCTTTAGTGTCATTTCAATAAAATGTTGCAAAGATTAAGCACAACATTTGCTCCAAAGTGAAAAGAAAGTGGAAGAACTACCACAAGCATAAATCAACTATTTAAGTGCAGTATTTGATTAAAAATTCGCAGCTACTTTCTGACACAGTGACAGACAAACTAAACAGAAACCAAAAAAAGAGCATACAGCAACGATCCTTTCTTCATCTTACCCGCTCCCTTATCTTGTACATGTTCTTGGACAGGATGTCGTGGATGTTCCTCAGGTCAGCAGCCAGGAACTTTTTCTGGAGTTTAGAAGAGCTTTTCTTTTCCTCGCTTGATTT